GATAGCATTGAGAGAGTGAAGAACATTGCGTGGGGTAAATTTATTTTTGATGAGACGAAGAGAGGCATTCACATTGCCGTTGAAGGGTTGAGGAAGCCAGGGGTTACGTACGTCCCTGGATGCATGCCGCTCATCCCTGTAAGTTGCATGTTCATATGTGGTTTAACATTTGTTTTATATTTAAAGAGTTTTGGCTACCGATATTAGATAATGTAACTTATGCAATTTTGAATGTTAACCAGTGTTGGTGAAAATTAACATGTTAAATTAAAAGTTAACATGGAGACCTCAAAGTTAACATGTTTAAGTGAAATATAACCAGTACTGATAAAAGTTAACTTTTTATAGTGAAAGTTAGCTACGAAGAAATGAAGTTGCATAAGGAGTTTTGATGTGCAGGGAATTAATGATAAATAATTGTTGCCTCTATTTTGGCAGCTATGGTTCTACGAGATGACAGGCATTAGAAAACCTGCCCTAAACATCAGATGGAAGCCGCCGTTGACCAACTGGGTAAGGGTCGGAGGGACGGCTGGATCGATGAGGAGGGAGACAATTGTCTCCAAGGCAGAAAAAGCAACCATTAAGATTAAGGATAAACCTGATTCAACCAATTTTCCAGGGGGGGGGGGAATACCCTCAAAGGGAGCCCTCTTGGAAGAATATTAGTAGCGCTCGCCTTGGGAAGAAAAGGATCCCTGCTGTATCAGATAAGAGTAAAGCTATGGTGGTTTCATTGCCGAGAGTGAAGGAGAAGAAAGAAAACGTAAAGGATGAGAAGCAAGCGAGGGTGAAGGGCAGACAAAATAGCTCATCCGTAGGATACGTAAGCGTCAATAATCTTTTACTGATTTGCTAGCATATTTATGATGGTTGAATTTTGTAACTTACTGGTTATTTTTCCAGATTGTCTCCCAGCATATCAAGAACGCGCTTGACAAAGAAGATGAAATAGAGAAGTTGAGCCTTGATCAGCAAATTCAGTTCTGGAGGAATACGACCAAATTAAACATGAAATTGCTCCATGCCACAAAGCGTAGTAAGCGCCTTCAATGGGATGCTTGTTCTAAGGAGATACATAGGCTGAACCGGAAATTGGAGTTTTACGAAGGAACTGCTGACCTGATTGATCCCCAGGACCTGAAGAAAAGTGTGGAGGAGATTATGTCCAAGAGTGACAGGCATACAAGGGCTGCACATGTGAAGAGGAAAAGAAGTGTTGACAGCATTGGCAAGGGTGACGATGTCGATTGTTTCGATTATGACGACGTGCGCATTATTGGTGAGGAAGCCTCGCATATTGCGGAGGGTGTAGCACAAGCTGAGCAGGAGGGAGACAGTGTTGGCCAAGATGAGGATGAAGAGACTGGAGGGGAATATAAAGAGGAAGAGATGGAAGACAGAGAGCATGAGGAGAAAGAGGAAGATAGAGAGCAAGCACTGAGTGAGGGAGTTAGAGAGCAAGAGAATAGAGAGGAGGATAGAGAGCAAGTAGTAGTAGAACAGGAAGATAGCTTGCAGGAGAATAAACTTGTAGATTCATCGGCATCTAAGAAAGTGGAAGTTAGAGAGGAATACTTTGAAGTGGAAGTTAGAGAGCAGGAGATGAAAGTACATGAGAAAGAGGAAGAGCTAGCGCAGATGTTTGAAGAAGAGAAGGAAGAAGAGAAGGGCAGTGCGGAGAAAGTAGAGGAGATGGGTATGGGGGAGAAGAACTCATTACAAGTTTATCGAAAGTGGTCGAAGAAAGTTGTTTCGAAGGGAACAAGGGGACCAAGTACCAGAATCAGGACTCGTTCTCAGCTAATCCGAACCCCTTTCACTGAGGAAAAGAAGAAGATAGCCCAACCAGAATTAATTACAATTTCACATCACAAGGAGGATGTTAGGGAAAAAATCAGGTACTACTGCAAGCCTAGTGAATGCACGTGGGATTTTCAAAAAACCAAAAAAATCAAGAAGAAGGAGGAGGCTCTGTTGAAGGTGCTGAACGAGGGGATTCCTTTTGTTGATGATTTTAGCATAAGCCTGGTTGATAGCGCAGGAACCTTTGTTCATAGCTTTAGAATACCCCATCATGTAGCGGCAAAGCTCACTCTAGAGGAGAACAGATGGGTCTCAGAGTTTTGCAATCAGAAAGCTCATGAGTAAGTTCAATCCATGCGAACTCTTTAATTCTATTTGCATGTTCATGTTAAAAGAAACATGTTAACTTATGCTCATTGATGTTAACTTATGCTATAACATGTTATTGTTCATTGTTATATGTTAAATTTTCCAGAATCAGGCTAACGTTTTACCATTTATGTTAATCTCTGTATCTTTCTGTCATATATCAGGTCATGTATTGTTTTAAATACGTCAAACAGTAGTATTGATTCTATGGAGCTTCTCAACCTACTACGAGGGGGACGTATTGACGACCATGCAAGTTTAATTGCCTCACTTATGCAATTTTTCCTCACAATCTGACAGGGTTGTTATGCAATCTAATGTGTGTCTTATGTATGTTCCATTTTCAGTTGATGGAAGCTTTGATCGATAGAATAAGCTCATGGCTGGATAGGCCAGAAATGGTTCCCTTGAGCCATAAGTATGGGATTGTATCAGTCTTCTTCTGCGTAAGCTATCTACTTTACGATACTATGATTCTTTAACACGTTTTTACTCCCGTCATAACATTCCATTATACTTGGATTATACAGCACATCCTTTATGCAAACACTCCTGATTTCCCACACATATATACTTCATTTATACAAAAGCATATTGTTGCAAGGAAGAGTGTACTCCTTATCCCGCTTGTGCGTCAGGACCATTGGCATCTTGCTGAAGTCAGGTTGGATGAGGACGTTGTCAAGCATTACAGCTCAGCTACCCACGATGCATATATTGAACCGGTGAATAAAGTAATTGGCTTCATGGACCATATGAAGGCTGGTTTTGATCCAGACAATGTTTGGAGGAAGTTTAGATATGAGGGCGTCTCTTGCGAGCAACAATCTGGAATGTTAGTAATTAACATACTTGAATTTAATTCTATTGCATCCCACAACACATATCTAACAGAACTGTTATTGCATCTCCGCGTTGCAGTTTTGATTGTGGGCTTTTCATTCCCTTATACATGAAGGCTATAATCAATGGGAATGATGCGATTCAGGTAAGTAATCCCGGAGACAATTCGGCCGTCTTGCGTGCCAGGCTTGCAGCCAAACTTCTTGAGGAAGGATGGGAACAGAGACAGCAAGGGGAGATTGAAGCACATGGTGGGTGAAAGTCGATTCTAACATTACGATAAAATTGAAACAGAACTGTTATGGATATGTCTGATACTACCTGCTTGACATGTACTCTTTAATTTTGCTGTAAGCTAGTCAGTTTACGGAGGAGGTTAACTAGATTGGACAAAAGTTAACCATTTTCAGCAAAAGTTAACCAGTTACAACAAAAGTTAACCAGTGTTGGCGAAAGTTAACCAATTTCAGAAAAAGTTAACCAGATTCAGTAAACGTTAACCAGCTTCGCTGGAAGTTAACCAGCGCCAGAAATAGTTAACCAGTTATAAAGAAAGTTAAACCTGTCGCTCTAAACCAAATTGTGCAAAATTTAACATGTCAACCGCTCAGCTACCCACTTTGGATTAGATCAAACAGCTCTGAAAGCTAACCAATTCAGGGAAAATTTTACAAATCGATAGCCAATAAACTAATAAAGCGAAGAGCGATTTTTAGACGATGCAGTGTTCCGCTATGAACTGCACATATATCAGTTCATTTTCAGCTTGCATATCACAATGTTTAAGCAAATTAGAACAACACAAAAACAACATAGAAAGCACGAACAGGTTTTCCATTTTTCAACTTCACGCTTAGACTGCTTCAATGCTTTCTTCAAGTATTTTACCTTGGCTGCTATCTCATCTTCAGCGGGTGCTTCTTGGTGAACAGCCACGTTCTCCTTTTTTGCATTGACATTGTCAGCCCAAGCAAAAAACTCACATCGCCTATTTGGGAAATTTGCACATCCCCAGAAGTATCTACCTTTGTTGCTCCCATTTTTGCATAGCTTGAGGGGGGTTGGAAGCTTGCAGAAACAACATGGCTCTTCTACTGATTGAGAGGCATCCTCGGTCTTCATCTTAGTCTCTAAATGAGCTATAAAGGGAGGTAGGGAACAAGAGATATGGTTTTACTTGAGCCTTGCATAACATTATATAAAGCAAATCCATCAAGTAGCTAGCCGTTAGAATATGTCTGTTGGAACAGTATACCAACTAGCTGTTGGAATATGTCACGTAGATTTGAGACCTGACAGCAATTTAACCTCAAACAGTGGGCCTTTATGATAACAAATTCAGCTAAAAGTAGTAGTAGTATAGAGATAGTTATATGTTAACATGTTTAAGTACAAAATTCAAAACCTCCTGCTGTCTGGAAGCAGAGCACAAAAATCTCCCATTAGTATAATGGAAACTTAAAGACAACTTATATTTCACTAGCGTCATTCTTCCTCTTCGTAAGCATGGCACACTAATCATGGATGGGCTCGTTACAAGTTGCTCGGTTGTGGCCTTCGCTCTTGCATCGACCACATTTGACAGGATGTTTCAAGATGGTTCTGTTGTTTATGCGTCTTGTTCTATTTCTTCCCCTCCTCTTCGTGGTAATTGGTGGCAAAATCTGGATTTCATCCTTGGGCACACTACGCATCTCATAATCTGGTATGGGATATAATATTTCATCGTAGCTCTTCTTAAACGCCTCTACGGACATGAACCAGTCACAATACTGATATACCTCTCTTTTCATATAAATGATGACTGCACAAGCATGCACACAAGGAATACGAGTTACGTCCCAAGCACGGCAAGTGCATGTCCTCTTCCCCAAGTCAACGTGAGTGGTTCTCTGTGATTGCACTTCGAATATATCATCTCTAGATTGCTTAATCTCTAACGTAGATCCTCTTTCCATATGTTCTCCAACAATCTGCTCAATCTACTCAGCTTTAGGACAAAGATAGCTTGTCCACTTTTCAGCCATTATGCGTCTGTTGTTCATGCGAGTCATAATTTGCTTGCGGATATGCTCCACCATTTGCAGGATACGCAGCATCCGAGCTTCACGTATCCAGCTGTTAAAGGATTCTGCAACGTTAGAGGTTACATGACCATATATGTAAACATCAAAATAAAACAAAGTCTCATTCAGCATCCAATATATAATAAGATTAACACGCAACCACCAAACTTTCCCTTTAGTAGGAAAAGTTAACATAATAACATGAAAGTTAACATATAGTGATAAACGATAACATATATCACCGATAGTTAACCTGCAAAAGGGGATATTCACTAGAAATGATTGAGGGCAGTACCTAATGCCAGGGAAGAAGGCATTCGCCCAATGCTCTGGCGAGTAGTTATTTACAATCTCATATGCAGCTGGAGACATCTCATATATATCCTTCATGTAGTCGTTCCATTCCGCAACAGTGTATTTATAGCAAGCTGATTGGAGCAAATTCCCCAAAACATGTGTGTCCTTTGCTTTCATTCCCAAATCCTTTAGCTTAGATCTAAAATTTTCAACCTGGTGCAGAACACATCTTAAGTGAATTGCTTCAGGAAAATATTCTCTTACCGCTTCTTGGATTCCCTTGTCGGCATCAGAAATAATAACCAGTTGATGGGGAGGATTGTATGGGTCTGGCCTTTCGTACAGTATAGACCACAAGCCTTGCAGGAACCAGCTCCAATTATCAACGTTTTCCTGATCACATATGCAATACGCAAGTGGAAATATCCCTTGGTCTCCATCATATGCTACAGCGCTCAGGAGCAGGCCTTTGTATCTATCTTTCAAGAAGGTCCCATCCAAAAATAATAGAGGTCTACACCCATTTAAGAAACCAACGATGCAAGCAGCATAACATATAAACAGTCTTTTGAACCTTCCTTCATTCTGGTCAATGCAAATGTAGCTTCCTGGATTTGTTTCCTTCACCTTTTGCTCATACCTGTACAACAGTGTGACCACATTACACGTAAATGTAATACATTGGAACATAAGGGTAATGTATATTGACGTGTAAGAGCTGACAATTTTCCATAAAACATAACAGTAGCTGAAATATAAATTTATGAAAATAAATATGGAAACATCTAAGGAAATATATTGCACGATAAATTTATACATTTAAACAGATAACTATAAAATTTACCATCTTAATTGATCGTAAGACTCATAACTATCACCATTCATAGCCTCCTGCGCTCTTTCTTTGCCCCACCATATCTTACTGTATTCAAGTCTCAATCCATATCGAGTAAGGAACTCCTTTTGCACATCCTTTGAGCGGATTTCAGGTCGAACCTTTAAGACAGGTCGCAATTGTTCTGCTACGAATCTACGAGATGCCCGTGATTGCCCTGACAAGCTAGTATGTTGTCCGCAACTATGTTCATTCACAAACCTTTTGATTTCAATTCTTTTTTCATTTTTTATCCGCAACTATGTTCATTCACAAACCTTTTGATTTCAATTCTTTTTTCATTTTTTACAGGGGATGCAAATAGCATCCAAGGGCAACCATATGTCTCCTTATATCGACAAATAACTTGGATACGTTTAGGTTCATTCTTTACAAAGTCATAGTCAAACTTTTTCGCCATGGAATAGTATTGCAACGCTAGTCTTAAATCTATGGCAGTTTCAAATTGTTGGCCCTTTCCAGTTAATGCTGTGTGCCAACAGTCTGGAATGCTGTAAGTTTTACTGATAATATCATCAGCTCTCACTACGTTCTCACCAGACGGGCAATCAGTTGGGATTCTCTCTGAATTGGAAGCATTTCCGCCAGAAGGGGGATGACAATATTCTTCATTCAAAGAGGCATCACTGCTACAAAAATTAATCAGGCAGTGATATAAACTTTACACTAGAGTATAAAACTATCTTATAATGTTTAAAACAAACCATTTTCGTATGAATTAATTAAAGAGCAGTGGAATTTAACAGACAATTTACATAGATAACTCGTTACGCTGAAAGTTAACATGCTCACATGAAAGTTAACATGTTCAATTGAAGATTAACATATATCGTCAAAACATAACATGAAACCAGCTGAGTTAACGTATAAATTTCGAAGATGACATCTATGTTTTTCTACTGCGCAACGATAATTAATTTGTTAACTTGAAGGGATTCAAAGCTCATAACGGGATTCCAAAAGATGAAGTTAAAAAACACTTAAAATGTTATGCGGCTTTGCCTTAAAGCCTGGAATCAGTATGTTCACGTCACACAAAGCTAAATGTTATAAAGAGTCATTAATTACTTACATTCCACCAATAACTTTCTGGTTTATTTCAGAACTGGAACACTCTTTATTAACAGCACTATTAACAACAGCGAGCATGTGAATCTCTGTACAACCGACATTTCGATTGTACTCCAACATGCACTTCAAGTCATCTTCGTTGTCAATCGAAAAAGTCAAGTTGGGGTGGGTGCCTCTCGGATTTATATACCAAGGATAAAGCTTCTTCAGGTACTTTCATTCTTTCAGCCACATCAAATTTCAGTTCATAAAACCGTGTTGTCGAGCAGAGCTTCATAAATATGGCCTTCTCGCCTAAAGACACCATACAAATCAACTCATCGGGGGCCATTGGGAGTGGTTGAGAGTTATGAAGACAGTTATGAGGAGTAATGGAGGGGATTTAAAGCTCAGAACGGTTGTTGACAGATGAAGGGGAAAAACCCTGATTTCATAAATGGGAGAATGAGGCAAAAATTACCCGATTTTATATCCCATTAATAAGGAGCTGAAGCAGACCAATAATGGAGGGAATCCGCCTTTTTTTTCCCCCGCTTTCCGCCGTCTCTTCGCCTTAATTGCGATGGGAGAGATCGACGATCATTGATGGCTGCCTGTAGCCGGTTCCCAGTGAGAGACGAGGGCATTTCAGGTCTTTTTGCCTAAATACGCCGAGCATACGTATAAAAGAGGGCTAAAGGGGCTGGAGCACGCGAAAAACGGATTTTTGGGACGACAGCCTAAGGGGAATTAATTCGTGGGCTGGGCCACTTCCAGGACGCGATTTTGGGGCCTGGACACAATTTTCCCTAAAAAATATTGCCCTCGTCCTCTTCTCTAACCCATTACATAAATACACGTCATCACGAAAAGGACTTGTTGGCGCGTGGGATCGGCAGGCAACGGGAGCTTTGAGGATAAGGATTAATGTGGGCATTGATATTATTATATTAGAGAAACTCTCTTAAACTTAAAATATATATCTTTTATATTATTTATATATTATCTATATACTGATGAGAAGATACTCCATGAAGTAAACCAGGTTGCTGTTATCGATAGCTGTGTCCTGTGGATAAGATTTAATTTTATACGTACGCTTTTTTAATGTCAAACTTGAGCTGTTTGGTTCGTTATTTTGGACCAAAGAAATACAATTTCCCCTCTTACAGCATCCTTCACATGGACTAAATGAGATTTTACGTTTCTTTCACTAGTACAAAACATGGCAGTCTAAACGGTTCTCATAACCGTTTGGGCAAATAAAAACAGTCTAAACGGTTTAAACCGTTTGGGATAACAAAATCCAAACGGTTAAAACCATTTGGGCGAAAAGAAGTTCCCAAACGCTAAGCCCAAACGGTTCTGTAACAGTTTGGAATGTTAGCCCAAACGGGTTAAACCGTTTGGGTGTTTTACTATTTTTTTTAGGGCCCGTTTGGTTATTTCCCAAAAAACCAAAAAATGGAAATGAAAAGCAAGAAATCTCAAAAAGTACAATTTCACACATTTCCATCCCTAAAACTCACCCACAACATCTAATAAAATATTATTTTTATCAAACAACTCATCCACCACATCTAATAAAATATTATTTTCATCCAACAACTCATCCATCACATCCACCACATCTAATAAAATATTATTTTCATCAACAACATCACTCAACTCATCTCATCTCATATTTAAAAATCACCAACATCATCCAATAAGATTGTGACAACTCATCTCATCTCATTAACATTTCATTTCTTTGTTTTCATCCCAAAAAATTGTGAAAACGCTTTTCTTAATCTTGGATCACATCACCCAATAATACAATGACAGCTCATCTCATCTCATCTATTTTCTTATTTTTAAGAAAGAACCAAACAAACTTTTTTAAGAAATTGGTTTCTTATAATTCATTTCCTTATTTTTTCCGCCAACCAAACAACATCAAAACAAGTTTTCTTAAAAAATCACTCACATCATCCTATAATAAGGTGACAACTCATCTCCATTTCTTTGATTTAATAGTTTTCCATTTCTTTGATTTCCCCTTTTTTGGGGGCAAACAAACAGGCCCTTAGATAAAACATCTACCCTTTCTCCGTTATCTTCCTAACCCGCTTCCCCCCAAAAATTTCCCCCGAACTCAAAAACCCCGCCCCTTCTAAAATCCCTAACCCCAATCTCTGAAATCTCTCATCTCAAACTCCCAAGAACCGCCTCCTCTTGATCATCTTCATCGTCTCCATCCCCTCAGATCCCTCATCTCAAACTCCCAAGAACCGCCTCCTCTTCATCATCATCGTCGTCTCCATTCCCCGCAGATCCCTCATCATCGTCGTCTCCATCCCTTCAGCGACTGTCCCCACGGCCGCTCCCTCTGGCGCCTCCGCCGACAAGCCCTCCTCCTCACCCTCTGCCTCTTCCGCATGCGGCTGCGTCCACGTGCACCGCGGCGGCGGCCACTCCGCCTCCTGCCGGTTGAGGGTTCCGCTCGAGTGAGTGGAGGGAGTTTTGTAGTTAGGGTTTCGTAGTTTGAGGTAATGCCGAGTCTTTAGGAATCAAACCCTTTTTATTTGCCTTATCGGTCATACTCCCAATCTCAAATTACTTGGTCTTCTATGTGATTTTTATTTTTGGTTCCCTTTTCCTGTTGCACTTAAGGAATATTTCAGTTTAGATTGATTTTTTCTGATCAGGGTTTTGCTGCTGGCCTCATGCTGAGCATGTCATTTTTGGACTTGACCCATGATGTTCTGAACTCTGTTGGCTTTCTAAAGGGTAACCTTTGGGTGAGGCTTATTATTATTGTTATTATTACTCTAGTAGCTTCTTCTTTATATTTTTTAGTGTATAAATTAGGACTTGATGTATGACTTGGTTATGCAAATTCAGAAAGCTGAGCTATTATACTCATCTGCTTAGCCTGCCACATCACAAACTACATTTGTCTGTCAGATAACTAATGACCACCTTCTTGGCTTTATCTAATTAATTATTTTCCTTTCTATAAGTTGCAGGTATTAGTTTGCACAACTTCCCTAAGGCTCTGTTTGGTTTGAAGGGAAATAGAAGAAAGGAAAAGAAAGTGCAAAAGAAAGTAATTTTTCTT